CATCCTGTGTCCATCCTTGCATATGTCAGGAAGAACACAGCCGTGTGGATAGAAACAGGCAGCGTTTGGGTCCCCGGTGTGTAGGGAGCCTGGGACTGGGATCCGGGAAGCCCTTGGACAGCTAACCTCTGCAGGCACACCGAGTCCTAAGTTCAGAAGAGACCAGAGTCAGTGTCACTGCACACATCACGCCTGCCTCTCGCCAACGCTGGTGAGCCATCCTACACCAGTTTGGCACAAGGTCTGGATCCTCGTGGCCTTGGCTAAAGCACCAGGCAGTCCTCCTCTTCCCTGAAGACAGGCGGAGGCATCTGTCCGTCTCTTCTCCGCTCTCACCGCTCCCCCAAAATGCATCCTTGTCAGGCACCTCCTGTTGAAAACAACTTCCAAATGTGGAACAGTTGCAGCTGCTTTGAGCCCTTTAACCCTTTGCAAGGATTCCGCAAAAATAATTGATGACTGATTGGCCCATTAACCTTTAAAAAAAAAAAAGTTTGACAGCCCGGCCTCGTGTAATGAGGAGGGCTTCCTTGTGAAACCAGGCTGATGGCTGAGTTGCTTGCCCCTGAAGAGGCGAAATTAGCCCCACGGGGCCTCGTCTGCATAGAAACTGGACGCAATTAGTGTAATATCCGGTATTATTAATGTCGTTGGGAATAATTGGGAAGGTTGGTTTCGACAGGTTCATGGTGCTAAAATACTATTATAGTGGACCTTTCCACAGCTAACCGTTAAACACGGAAAACTGTTTAAATCCCTGTGAGCCCAATCACAAAACTTTATGAAACAGCCAGGCCCTGGAATGTCACGCTGGGAAACAGCACGCTTCTTTCTTTCTGGCCACGGGGGTGGTGGGACTCTGATTTTTCACCATCGGGGGGTCCAGGGCTGGAATTCCTTGGATCCCCGCGTGTCTGTCCAACTAAGAAACACGCTTTTCACGTGGGTGTCATCAGGACTTTCTACAGCCGGAATTCCATTGTACGGAATGAATTAAATATAAGCCGCTGGGATTGTCACCAAAAGTGGGTTTGTATTAGTGAGATGAAACCACTCGAAATGAGACATGACAACGTACGTCCTCGCCGTCCGAGCACTCATTCTTCACGTTGGGAGTGAGGGCAAGAGAGAAGAGAAATGCCGGTCTGTCTTCCTGACTGATTGGCCTCACGCTGCCAATTCTTGTTTTCCTCGTTTTTTACCCAGTTGCTGGTCACTGAAATATCGTCGCAGAGCTGCTTCCTAAAAATGTGTTGGGACCCTTTGGCCCATCGGTGATTTGAACAGCCTGTCCAGCTGATAATCGTTCTTCTTTGAACATGTTAATTGCTGTCTCTACAGAAGAAGGGAAGGTATTTGGGTCCCAGGATCTCCTACTATTTACCTACTGAGTGTCGTGGTCACTGCAGTGGTACGGACGTGCTGGCGAGGATTAGCCTAGAGGTTGTCCAGGTGGTGGCCTGAGGAGAGGACCAGGCAGCAGGCTGGAGACTCCCCAGGGGAGTCTTTTCTCCACGGATTAGTCAGGACTGGGGTGGGAGGTGACAGAAGCCACTTTTAAAAGGGTTTAGGCCAAAAAAGGGAGGGGACAATGGGTTGCTCCTACAGCCACGGGGAGGAGGCTGGGGTGCCAGTCTGTGGTCAGCAGCGTTCTCGCCTGGCACAGGTGGTGGCCTTGACGTTTCCTTCCCGTGGAGGGAAGAGGCACCTGAACCTCTGGGAAGAGGGGAAGGGGTACCGAGGCCCTAACTCAGATGTGACGACCTGGAGGACACTCAGATCATGTGTCCCCTCCCAGAGCAAAGCAGAGCATCCAGGAGTGTCACGTGCTCCGATTGTCCTGGTGTGGGTGGAACTGTCCCTCCTCCCCAGGCTGACCGCTAACTGGTCGGGAAGCCATGTACCTAGGAAAGTGACCGCTGGACAGTGCCCGGCTTATCACTGCCACACCCGTTGCACCGTGTCACCGGAGCCACGCGACAATAGGAGAGATGCTCCCCAGTAGCCATGCGTCACACCCCAGCATTCTCCAGACGTGGCCATAATCTTTATGATTATGACACTACTGACAAGCTGGTGAGGGATATTTGGGACAACTACTTCTGAAAGAGCCACCATCTTGCCCTTCTGACATCAGGAGTAAAGAAACATAACAGAAAAGGTCCCTGGGAAGTGGAGAGACCCGGCTGGCTCCCACGGGACGCCCCAGGAGAGCACCTTTTCTTAATGTCCCTCGTGGGGTATTCCTGGTCTGTGGAATGGTTCCCTTCTGAGAACTGGCCAGGAGCCGAGGAGGCTCCGCAGACCTAGGGCTCCAGTAGCCCCATGCTTTCCGGGATCACTGGATGCAGGACTTGGACTTTCTCTCTGGCACCTTCTTGTAGCTTTATTCGTTGAGCCACCGAAATGTCTGCTCCGTAGGCTAGCTTTCGCTTTTGCAGGCATTTATCACTTAATTCTCACAGTTTGGGATTTTGACTCATGGGAGGAAGAGGGTGGGCTTGGGGCTTGGAGTTTATGCCTCATGCAGGTCGGTCATTGCAATAAAAAGTGTGTTTTGTAGGGAAGGCCCTGCCACACATCTTACCCGCTGTATGGCTGGGCAGTCCGAGGTAGAAGGAAATGGAGAGGAAGGTGCAACAAGGTGGCGGGGGGGGGGGGGGTTGATGTTGGTGAACAGTGTTGTCACTGATCAGATGGCAGTGGGAAGAGGGAGGGTGTGGAATCTGGGTGATTTTGAATTTTATGACTAGAATTAACATTTTAATCAGTAACAAATCGTGAAACTCTAAGAGGATCATTTGTGGACTATAGCCGGTCAGGTGTGTGCCTGTTAATTTGATGTGAGAACCAAATATTTGAAGAGTATCAGTATGTGTGCATTGTTTTAAATCATTTTAATTTTAGGGTCAGAGATACAGACGTGAGAACTGTCCCATGTCAGAAGTGATTCCAGAGCTAGAAAGAACTCTTCAGTTGAGCAGAGTAAACAGATGGCAGGCCTGCCGCATGCCCCCCTCCTGCCCCAGGGCAGACATTGCTAATGGATCACATTCTCCTGCTCCAGGTGGGGTTAGGAAGGAGAGGCGAACCATCGTGTGTCACTCCCACCAGAGCTCAGACTTGACAGGGCCCTACCGATCACCTTCAAGATGCTGAGTTCCCTGCAGGCTCCCCTGACAGGGCCACACGGGGCTTGAGCCCTCCAGGGAGTGCAACCCAGAAGCTGTCTCTTCCATCTGGGGATAGCTCTGAGGCGAGAGAACCCCCTGAACGTAGAGTCAGAAACGTTTAGTGGCACGGAAGGTGCTGGGAAAGGAAAACTGTGTCCAGAAGTAAAAGGAACAAGTGGCGCGGGGTGGGGAGGAGCTTGATTTGAAGGTGATGGAGCAGCCATAGGGTAGGTACTGGAGAGCAGTGCCCTTGGAAGTTTGCAAGAAATGAACCCACAATGGTTTTGCAAAAGGGGGCATCCACCTTCCCTACGTTCAGGACCCTTCAGAGCCAGTTCCACAGATTTAAGAACAACTCACCAGGAGGTTACCTTCTAGAAGAGCAGTGGAGCTGGTTTTACATAGAACACAGAACCATTAACATCAGAGCATGTGAAGATTTCACGCAACAGTGTCCAGCCCCATTTCCTGGCAATGCGTGCAATGGTTTAGGGAAGGGGTCCCCCAGGCCTGGCTGGCGTTAGGGAGGACATGAGCATCCCCTTCCTGGGCCCTGGGGTCAATGGAGTGAGGTAGGAGGGGCCTCCCAGCCACAGAGTGAGGGCTGCTTCCCTCCTGAGACTGAGGGGAAGGAGGTGAGGACGGCCGGACGTGGTTGTAGTTGCTTCGCGAGGAGCTGAGTGAGCATCCATGTCTGGAGGCCGAGGGCTCCTGGTGAGGTCAGGTCTCAAGAACCCAAGAGCAGCAGGGAGCACAGCAGAGGTCAGGGGCCGAAGGTCAGGGGTTGTGAGGGGTGAGGGTGCTTGGGAGATGGGCAAGAGGAGTGGCGATTGTGGGAGGCAGAGGCTGGCCCAGTAGGTGGGTGAGCCAAGTAGCCATGTGCAGACAACTGAGATGATAATTAACAGACGCAGCGGTCAGCTAGGCAGGTCGCCGCGTTCTTATCCTTATTGATAAGGTGACGCGATGCAGTCAGTTCACAGCCCCCAGTGACTGGAAACTTGGAATCAAATGAGATGAGGCGCCCAGTAGTCCAGCGGGAGAGTGCCTAGTGGTTATTCATGGCAGGTTTTGCTGCTTATATGTGCCTCCTCCTCTCTTGCTCTGTGGCAGGGAAAGAGGACAGATGCCGGCATTTATGGGGTGTCCCCTGAGTTAGCACATGTCACTTAGCCAGTGGGAAGCGCTCCAAAGCGAGTGGTCTTTCCCCCGCTGTAGGGGTGAGGAAAGGGGCCTGGGAGGCTCCAGGACTCGCCCAAAGAGCCCGATGTGGGAAGCGGCCTGGCAGGATTTGGTGCAAGTTCGAACCATCCTGGTCCAGGCTGTCACCCATGGGAAGGCTTTAATTCCATCGTCTCCAGAAGAGGAGAGACAGTGGGATCCCAGCAGCCTGGAAGGGACTTCCTGATGGAAAAGAACAGAAACCCAGGCACCCTCCCTGCTGTGGTGCATCTGTGGATCTACACACACATGCAACGAAGACCCCAAAACTGTACCCGGAGATTTTCAGCACTAACTTAGTTTCGCCCCACAGGTGTGGATGGTTGGCATAAGTTACAGGGCACGTTCCTGTGTTGCTTCGTCTGTGCCCATCACAGAGACGCTGCCATCACACACGGATTTTCCTTTCCTCACCCCCTGGGCACTGAGGGAGACCTCGCTGACCCACGCCGGCTGCGGAACCAGACCTTGAGTGTTTGCCGGTCTGTGGACTCAGCTCTGCGCTGTGGTGGGCGCGAGGGAACCCAAAGGCACCTTTATGACTGCGGACGGCAGAGGGCCGCGGTCACATGAAGCTAAATTCTTCATCCCCACCCTCTGTTTCAGAGCAAGAAGAAAACTTTGAGTTTATCATTGTGTCCCTCACTGGCCAGACGTGGCACTTTGAAGCCACCACGTATGAAGAGAGAGACGCGTGGGTCCAAGCCATCGAGAGCCAGATCCTTGCCAGCTTGCAGTCATGTGAGAGCAGCAAGAATAAGGTAAGGCCCCAGCCAGTGTGTCTCGGTTAGTTGGGCATCGCCCTATGCCCTATGCACCGAGGGGTTGCTGGTTCGATTCCCGTCAGGGCACATGCCAGGGTTACAGCTCAATCCCCAGTGGGTGGCGTGCAGGAGGCAGCCCATCAATGTGTCACTCTCATATCCAAGTTTCTCTCTCTCTTTCTGTCTCCCTTCTTCTCTCTCTAAAAATTATGTTAAAAAATCTTTATGATAAAGGTAAGGCCCTTAGGGAGCTGCCCCCCAAAATCAAGGGCAGCTGCTCATTAAAGGGCTGTGGAGGCCTAGTGATGCCCAGGGGAGCGCAAAGCATCAGTTGACACGTGACTGACAAGATCCTAGTCCTCTTTCTAAGCAAAAAGCTAACTGGTGGAAAAGATTGGGGAAGACTTTGTGCCAATATGTATCAAATATCATGTCAGTCTCCTAGCTTAACCATGTTCCTAAGGCCATATATCCCATTGAAATCTGTATTCTCTCAACTAATCCCAAATCCCACCTTTTTATTGCAAGTGATGGAATCTTTGAGATTCTTGTCGCTTATGTGGCCACATTTGTTTTTATTTCAGGCAGACCACACTCAGGAAAAGAATGCAGACAGAAAAGATGCACCCTTCTGTTCTCATAAATGCACAAAATTCAAGTCCCTGTCAACTTAGACACTGACTCTTGATACAGACGTAAACAAAAGTAAACACATGGGCGCATGAGCACATACGTGAGCACATGTGTGAGCATGCAGGAAGTTGTCCATTTGCTCAGCTCTGCCATAAAGTCTTTTTGTGTTTTTTTCAGTAATTAGGGGTAGTTGCTTTGCATTTGTGTAGCCAGGAGAAGCTAAATGACTTCACTCTGCATTTTGTAGACCCTGCCCCGTGATATTCCAGGAACAAAAGTCATTCTTCCCATTTTCTTCTTCCCAACAGGGATTTCTTCAACCTCATTGTTTTAATGCGTGGATGTTTTTAACTCCTTTTCTGGGCATTTTAGAGTCCTAGAGAGCATTTTCAAACTATAGTCAACTCGAAACTAAGAGAAAGGATATTGTCCACCGACCTGCAGTTTCATTTGTAACAATTTAAAGAAATTTCTGCCCATGATTTATGTGCAGCTCTGTCAGGGGAAGGAGTGTATCTCTCAGAAAGATGGAGTGTCTTATTTTATTACCCTCTTTACCCAGGGTAAACCAGTCATTATTATTATAATGTAATTTGCTGCTCTTTTTAAAAGTGGTTTTATACCAAGGTGGGCTGAGTCGCTGCCTCTCACTCCCGAGCATCTCGGCTTCATAGTCACGGCCGCAGATGTGCTCCCAGAGCGAACGTAGATGCCCCGGTCTCCTCGCCAGTGGGGAGCCGAGGCGCGTGCCACCCACCGAACGTGGGGATGAAGTTTCAGAGCAGGAGTTCGGAGAGCCAGGGTTGTTGAACAAACACATCTCCAAGTTCAGTACAAAATCATAGCGTCTCGGTCAGACGGAATCAGAGGATCTGGAAGCATGTCGCCTTTTCCCTCTCACACCTGGCCAGCTCCTGCCCGCTCACCGTGAAACTCGAGGCATCACCTTGGGGCCTGAGGCGCACACCAGCCGTGAAGTGCGGCCCCGTTTCTCCCCCTAGACGTGTGCATGCACAGGCAGGTGCTTTCCTAGGCGGACTCACTGAGCGGGAGGAGGGAACGCTCACGCCTGGGCGTTGCTGAACAGGTGTGCACGTGTGCACATGGAAGTAATACCCACAAGCAATAGCTTGAAGGCAAAATACTGACTAGTTGAGAATGAGCTACAAGGTGTCTTAGCTGCCTGTGGATAATTCAGTAGATAGGAGGTATAGACAAACATATACACCCATGTGCCTCAGAAATGATACAGGGAGAGAGAGACAGCTGACACATCCCTGCTCACACACACACACACACACACACACACACACACTCACTCGAGGTGCCAACATACTAGTAAACAGTTAAACATACTTTGAATACCTGGGTATCTAGCCAAAGGCATAAAACCCCAATAATGCATGGTGCTACCTAGACAGTAGCAATTAATAAATTACATTATTAGGTGGTAAGCAATAAATTATTTCATATCAAACATGAAGATGAAGATAGTTTGACTTATTAAACAAAAATCAAGCTTATTCTAAATGTCCTCTGAACTGTAGTTGGCTTTTACCATTATATTAAATGTATGCAGTGTAGGCCTTAAGAACGGTACCTATTCCTTTACCTAACGTCTTGACGTCCAGAAATTGATCCTCAGTAAATAATCCGGGATTTGTGCAGAACTTCAGCACTCTTTACAGTGGAGAAACTGGGACCAACCTGAATGTCCATCAGAGTGAACGTCGTAAATAAATCACCAGAAGTGGAATATCATGCAGCCATTTAAAATGGTGATGTTGGAGAAAACAGGGCAGCATTGAGAGACGACAGTATCTCATTAGGCTAACCTGGCAGGTTTCAAAGCAATATATACAATGTGGCTTTTTAAGAAGTACTTACCTGTGTACAGATGTGCTTAGGGAAAGACTGCAGGAATAGATATCAAAATGTTAATAAAACTTAATTGTGATGATCATATCTCATAGTTTATAGATTTTCATGTTCTTTTCCTCCGATGTTGTCCTCACATGCTTAGAGAAGACATTCAAGTGTAAGTTTAAGAAGAACCACGCCCAGCCACTGTCCCACTCCTCCCTGCCCTACACAGGCTAGTGACTTTGTTGTTGTAGCAATTGAGACAGTTTGAGGAAACGTCAAGTGTGGTGTGGCCATGGTCTCCTGACCAGGAATCGTGACATTTGTCTTAACGATGCCGATGAAGCCTGACCCTTCTCTTATAAGCGGAAAACTTGTTTTTCATTCTTTACTCTTCACACCAAGTAGACACACGGCAGTGAAAGTGCATTAACCAGTTACGTTCCCCAGGTGACGGTTTGTCCCCGTTCCTTCACAAAGGGTCCAGCACGTGCCTTTGTCGTCATGTCTCGTAGGATCATTCTCACCCAATAAATCTTAACCTGGGGGTGCCCTCACGGCGCCTTCTCAGTGCGACTTTTTCCTGGAGATACTGGAAGAGGAAAAATTGTTTGAAATTGCCCTCCTGCCATATTTGCTCACAATCTGTTTGAATTTTCTCTGGCGTTATGAGTAGACATGTATGTTTCTCTCAGGTTTCTCATATCTTGCATTTGTGTGTCTTCTTGTATGTCTAGTCCCGGCTGACGAGCCAGAGTGAGGCCATGGCCTTGCAGTCGATACGAAACATCCGAGGGAATTCGCACTGTGTGGACTGCGAGACCCAGAGTAAGTGGGCGCCGGGGAGGGGCTGGGCCTCCGCAGTGGAGAGGGTCGGATTGGGTGGTCCCCCTGCATCTGACTTTTTTGGTTCCTGTGGCTCTGTAATAGTTGGTGCCACCGGAGGGCCCATTTATGGGGAGAAATGTAGAGCCTGAAGGTCAAGTTACAAACATAGCAGGTTGCGTAGCCCGATGCAAGCCAAGCTCTGGCTGCTGCAGTTACTCAGAGAACAAGGGGAGGTGGAGGGGCCGAGATCAGAGACCAGTAGATGACACATTGACAAAGACTTCGTTATTTTTAAGTCAAACTATCCAGTTTGGGTGAACATGCTGGGAGATATCCCATCCACAGAGTGATGAAGAACTATTTGGCAATGTACATAATGGCACGGACACCCCTCACTTGGCTGTGCCCCTCCAGGAACTAAGCTGGGGGCAGGGGGCAGATCTAGCTTCAGAGATGTTCCTCACAGCGCTGTTTATAGAGCAGAACATCGCAACATCGCCAACGTGCAACTATCCAAACCAGCGATGGCAATTGTCTGTTGGGTGGGAAGTTCCAAAGATTTCCAAAGCCAGATATTTCAGATTAGCCACCAACATGTTCAATTTTGTAAGACACCTTAGACAGTAGCAAGAACTGACCAGGGAGTGTTTTCAAGCCAGACCCCAGGGAAGGGTCTGGATGTGAAGTCTGTCTGGCAAGGGTTTTGTTGCTGAGATGCCAAGGGCAGTGAATGAGCAGCGATGGTCTGATCCCATGGGGCCCTCTGCTCTTCTTCCCACAGACCCTAACTGGGCCAGCTTGAACCTGGGAGCCCTCATGTGCATCGAGTGCTCAGGGATCCACCGGAACCTCGGTACCCACCTCTCGCGAGTTCGATCTCTGGACCTGGACGACTGGCCCATCGAGCTCATCAAGGTGATGTCATCCATTGGGAACGAGCTGGCCAACAGCGTCTGGGAAGAGAATAGCCAGGGGCGGACGAAGCCCTCGCTGGACTCCACAAGGTAAGAACACGGCAAGAGCCCTAACCGGTTTGGATCAGTGGATAGAGCATCGGCCTGCGGACTGAAAGGTCCCAGGTTCGATTCTGGTCAAGGGCATGTACCTTGGTTGTGGGCACATCCCCAGTAGGGGGTGTGCAGGAGGCAGCTGATCCATGTTTCTCTCTTATCGATGTTTCTAACTCTATCCCTCTCCCTTCCTCTCTGTAAAAAAATCAATAAAATATATATTAAAAAAAAAAAAAACACAGCAAGGGGTGTGGTTTGGGGGCATTTTGCCAACAGTTGGACACAATTAGAACTGCCCTGGCAACCTGTAGGGGTGCTGCTTAGACCAGCACAGAGATCTGTATTGAAAATGGGTCTTCACAGATGTGGCCAATTCAAATGCCTTCATTGTTTATGTTTGTTTTTCCACCTTGGGGATTCCTCTCCCCTCCTAGAAATGTATTAAGCTTCTAAACTTATGAATGCATCACTTTAATTAATACATTGCTAATAGGCGTAAGCTGCACCATTAACACCAATTATGAATTTCTGATTCTTTAATTTTGTTATTTTTAGATCTTTGATAAGCCTCTACTCAATTGACATACACACAAAATAAGTGAGTTCATGGTAACAAAATATATTTTATTTCCTAAAATATATTTCTAACATGTTTAATCAGACAAATCTGGCATAATGTACAGTGACTCCTCATTAATGTTAATTGTTACCCAATGTAAAAATCGCATTTATTTTGAGGCCATTTAGTTTTTCGTCTTCCATTTGCAGCTATGATAAACCAGTTTTGAGCACACGTGCATATTTAATGCACCTGAGAGGTGATAGAACGGCTTCCGAGGGAGCCTCGTTCCCGGAGGCAGGACGGACGCTTCCCTCTCCGGGGTGTCCGGTTCTGAAGTCAGGTGTGGGGTTCCCTCTCAGCATTCACATCTCAGGGGTGTGGAGAAGCAGGGGGAGGCCATAGGTCTCCCAACCTGAGCACTTTTTAAATTTTTTTTTGCTGTTGATCAGACAACACGAAAGTCCAAGCAGCGGCCAATGTGAGGGCAAGAAGTGGGTCCCTCCGCTGGGCGACAATAACGCTCCGAGTGGGTGGGCTCTGGGTCGTTAACACTGAAGAGTGAATTTCTGGTGCCACCTTGGGTTCACTTGGGAGAATGAAGCTGGTGCGTGAGCAGTCCCGCTCCGTGCGTCAGGGCTGCTGTGGGAGGGCAAGGGCGAGAAAGGGTGCGGGGGGCGTGTGTCTCCCACAGCGGAGGTTTGCTGTGTGAGCTCTTGGAAGGTGAGTTGCAGCTGGTGATGAACATGGGCACGTGTCTTACAGGCTGAACAGAGGGTGCACTTTCAAAATGTATTTATCTTGACGTAACACGAATGTGGACAACTAGGAGCATTCTGAAGAGATTAATTTTTGTTATAATATTTTTTTTGTAGATATAGTTTCCTTGGAAAATATTTAGGTCTGAAAATGAAAAATGAGTGGAAATTGGATTGAGTATAATGTATGAGTACAGAAAAACAATTCAAATGGGTCAGAAAATATTAACCTGATGCATTTTACCTGTTTCTATATAAAAGAAGCGTATATTCTGTGGTTCATATCATGAACTTGAGAAAAGTTTGTTTTTTCATCTGTCATAATTAGGAGCATTCAGAATGATTGGAAACAAGGATGTGGGTTAATTTTTCAATGGTAACTACCTGACATCAATGTTATCTTCTCATAAGTGCAGACTGTGTGGGGGTGTTTTAGATTCCGATTCGTGTGTGTGAGTCAGGCCCTTGGGTGTGTAAGTTCCCTCCTATCTAGTGTCACGCACATCACATCTTTATATTTTAGAGTCGAATCAGAGCCTTCCTTCCTCGCAGACGGGGTGGTGCCGTTAAACCCCATCCTGGGCTTCCCTAAAGAGCGAGCGGAGCTGGAATTCCTCTCCCGGGCCAGTGGGGGTTGGGGGTAGGGTAGTTACCTGGTGTTTCCAGGTAGCTTTGGGAATTCAGAAATCTGTACATTCTTAACAAGATAGGCACCTATAAGAATTGAATGTTTCTTTGTGCCTTTAGTAATTTTCCCAGGGAGTTTCGTGTTTAATTAAATTCAGCAAATACTCTTGACCACCGTCTCCTAGAAAAGAAGTGATAAATGGTTCTTGTAATTGTCCTGTGGTCGGGGGTGCCCTTGGGGCCAGACAAGGAGGCCAGGGCTGGGCTGAGTTCACAGGACAGAGGGGTTCTCATAGCCGCTGTGCTCCAGGGAAGTCTCGCTGGAGAAACAGCATCCAAGCTGGACTCGGGAATGTGGGGTGATAGCCAGGCCTGGGGGTGGGGAGGGGGTTAGGCAAAGGCAGGAGTGGGAAACCCTAGGGCGCCCATGGGGTTAAATGTGGAAGTCAGTGTGGGGGGCGGTCTCCCATGGGGCTGGTTGTGGGGATGGATGGGGCCAGAGCCAAGCGGAGGCCTGGGGGAGCCTTGGGGGTGGGAGGGTGGATAACCGCACCTGAGGCGTGGGCAAAGGGTGAGTTGTTGGGTCTGTTTATGCCTCCGTGTATGTCTGCTTTTCCCAGAAGGACCAAAGGCAGGCAGCAGCGTCATTGGGAGGGATGGCGACGAGGCAGGGAGGCCGTCGGAAGGCGTGGCCCTGGGGGAACAAGCCATCCTGGATACCCTGTGAAAAATGAAAGAATCTCTCATCCTGTTAGAACACGCAGTCACTCGGACACCCCCGCCTGCCCTGCCGCCTGTGGTGTCTGCTAATAGACACGAGGTACTCAAGGTCTGGGCTAGAATTTCCAGGACTCTGGTCTGTGATCCGATCTGGATCCTGCCTCTCCAAGACGGCAAGGAGACACCCCCCCCCCCACAACCCACCCCCTTTGGTCTCCGTGGAACCCATGACGGTCAGAACAAACAGCAGGAGGGGTCTTTCATGTGGCCCTAATGTAACCCTAAAAAGCAATATTTAGTAAATGTTTATCTCTAGCCCAGGAAGACCCCAGTGCCATCTACCCGTCTCATTCTTTGAAAAGGGGCCCAGCTGTTTCCTTGAGCAGCTCTGGTCTGTTCGAGCTTGTTCAGAAGATTCGTTCTGACAGTGGGATATAATTAGGAGCGTGCTTTTCTCCTTGCTAACATGCACGCGCACACACACGCACACGCACACACGGGGTCAGGACCGTGGGGACATAGAACACAGCAGATCCTTCTCCAGAGAAACAGCCACTCCCCAAACCACCGAACCTTGCAGTCGCCCAGTCCTGCGGGCAGGGAGTTAGGAAACAGGTGCCTCCGCCCGGCTGGCAGGCCTTGTGCTCCTGGTCCCTGCACCCTGGTCAGGCGGCCTCGGCCGGCTCATAATTGGTTCCAGTGATTCTCAGCCACCCTGAGCACTGCCGGTCCAACCTCACCAGCGCTGTGATCAATCGAAGCTGACGGCGGCGAAGCCGTATTGACTTCCCATTCCTAAACCGGGGAACCATTAGTCAAGAAAAGCATCTTTTAATTACTCCCAGGAAGAAAAAAAAAATCTTTTTGGATGGATTCTGCAACAACTGCCATTTTTCCCAGTGCACTCGATATGAAATGTATTGTCGCAGGAGGGGAGAGGGCGCCCCGCGTCCCCGCTCCGTCATGGCGGTGTAATTTGGAGAAAGGAGCGTGTTCGGGAAGTCGATGCCGTAACAATTAACTCCATCTGCGGTGGAATCCGAATTCTCCTCTCTAATTGCTATTGATACCATTTAAGCACACACTTAAAATATTGATTTTAAATGGGGAGTAACAGTAGACAACATCAGCTAGATTGTAGAGGCTGCGGAGGGGCAGTCTTCTGTCTGGAGGAGCAGACTTAGGACGCACAGCCTGTGAGCTTGTGCATCGCACCACGCAGTGTGTGGTTGTCCGTAGGTGGGCACTGGGGCCCGGAGCACCCAGGCCGGAGAAGTCACCAAGCTCCTTAGTGATCCTGTTTCGAGTGAAGGAATAATTCGCTCAGGTGGAGATTATTAACGGTCAAGTGCCTGTGTCTTGAGTGAATGAATGAGTGTGACAGGGAACTGGTCAGCGTGGGCACACCTGTCAGGTGCTCTTGCCCCCTCAGGGCCTCGTGTGTCCTGAGTGAATGGGGCTTCAGCGTTGCCAGCACACAGCAAGGACATCTCAGTCCACCTGTGCGTCCTCTCGCCCTCGGCCACGCATGGGGCACTGGGGACTGTCTGCAGCACCGTGCCGGTCAGTCTTCTCTGTTCCCAGCCGTGGTTCACTTAGCGTTTAGGCTTGACTGCAGGGAACAGCGTTTCCTGCCAGGACTGAGCAGAGCCCTCTGGTGCCGCTTTCCTGACCACTGTCCTTCCTTCCTCTCCCATCTTTGTGACTCTGTCGCAGCATTTGGCCCGTGTGGGTCCACAGGGACCAGCTCCCGAGGCATTTCAGTGCAGGTAGCCTGTGTGCGTGGCGATTCGGGGAATCAGAGCAGCCCCTGTGTTCTCACGTCCACGAAAGAGGCCGAGAGAAGCCCCCCAGTGACCTCAGCCCTTCCTCTGATTCCACTGGGTCAGTATGCAGTCTTTTCCCTCTGTAGCATCCTTTCTCTTTTTGTCATTATTTATCAGTTCACCTGCACGCCTAAACTCCCTTCCTGTCTTTAACCTGTCAAAAGATGTCACTTCAGGCGGAAGACTTGGGGCGGGACTGGAGGTATCCGCATGGGAGAGACGGGTGCACACTCCCAGACCAAGCGGTCTGCCCAGTGATCCGAGTGATCCGAGTTCGGCCCTTTTGATTCTGGAAGGCCACTTCATCTTATTTATGCACATGGAGATATTGAGAAAGGGGAGATGTATCCAAACTGAAAATAATTGGATCCCCACCGCTAACTCTGAGATATTAAAAGCAGTACCACTTGGCCACGTCTTTGTCTCGTTAGGTTTGATCATGAGATCACAATATAGTAATCTCGGGCTCAAATTTCTGGCATAGAGACACCCCGTTCCAAATGG